AAATTTTTTTTTAACTATCTGTTATTTTAGAAAAACTGATGATGGTGGAAAAATACACCAAAACGTATTTTAATTGATAAATAGAGACAATAAATGACTGCAACCCAGGAATTAATTTTGATTTGGAATTGAAACACAGTCAGGAAAGTATGTACAATGTTAAAATTTATATTGTTGCTATTTTCATATTTAACGTTTACACATATAAAGCAATGGATGAGTTTGCTCAATACACAATTTTACTTGCACGCCCAATTAGTTTCGCGTCGTTCAATCCTCCTAAGTTGGTGTTCTTCAAAAATCAAACAACAATTCAGAATAAATTACAAATTTCTGCCACTGAAATGGCAAATGCTTTGCACCTTTCCGTAATTAAAACCTTTTCAGCATAATTATGGCTTTTTTATTGAAGCAAAAACACATCGAGTGTAGCAAAAAGAGCCATTAATCAATTGCCTACCAACTATGAACCTGGTGCTGAGAAAATTTCCTTTTAATTAAAATTAATAGTGCCGATAACGATTTTCCAGTTGGCAAAATCAAAAAGCAGGAAATGACTGGCGCGCCGATTTTATTAAGCTATCGACCGTGAAAATTCAAAGGAAAGCTTGAGGCCGTTTTAGAAGATTAATCAGTATTGTTAGCACTGAATTGATCGGGATTTAGACTTTCTTAATTCTAAAGAAAATAGTACCTGCTGTCCATGCGTGTATTCAACTCCTGCCACAAGACAAGTAGCTGCTGAACTGAGACGGCCAAGTCCTCTGGTTGTTATGTCGTCTTCCATTAGCGGGGAATTTTCGTCTTCTTCGGAGCTTTCTGAGATGTCGTTACTTAATATTGCCAATGGAACTGAGAACAAAAAGAAAATTGTAGTTTATCTTGTCCCGTTTTTGTCGATAGACCTGAGAAAAGAGAATATCAGAACCCAGGATTATACAGTCCGCTTTAAATAAGGGAAATGGTAAATAATGTCGATTTAACGTAAAGAAAACTTTAAATCCGACTATATAAACAAAGCAACTTCTTAAGACTGTGTTAAAATATAAATAGAATACCCCTAATGTTCAAAATAATTCCAGACTTTAAGAGCGCCTCTTTATTCAAAATATTCCGACAACGTATAAAGGCAACGATACATGGGATCAGAGTTAAAAACGTGAAGAGAGCGTGGAAGTGCGCTGAGCAGATAAATTGACTCATGAAAGTATGAAAATAACTTAATAATGGCTTTCAGAATATTCTGCTTTACAATAAAGGGAGAATTTGAACATTAGATTATACGCAATATTATCGCTACACTCTATGGGATATAAAATCCACGTTTTTTATTTTCAGATTTTGTCTCAGGGAATAAAGCGAAAATGGAAACGGGAAAATTCGCGCACTTTCAACCAGAAACTATTTATATTGAAGATGCTTTACCTGTGACGTGATGCTTAACTTTAAAATGCACTTTATTGCACTTTTACTTTATCATTATTTATTCTTCGGTTTATCCAAAAGTAGATCATTGTATTTTGCACTGGTGAGTTTTTTGGGTTTTGATGCCGTTTGAAGTACACAGGGTAGCTCAAAATGAAATTGACAGTCAATATTCTTTTTTTTAAATGGAATAGCCTACTGTTTAATGCAGAATCAGGTAATACATTGTATTCTAAGTATTTTTTATTTAAGGCACTATGTGACATACCGGCGTTTAAAACATCGTAACGCAACAAAAGTAAACTCCATGATTATTCTTTTACTTAATAATAATATTAATAAATGATATAATGTTGAAGGAATATTAACACCAATGTTCTCTTTTTTGTTTTTGTTTTGTTCTGTTCTCAAATTGAATAGTTTATTTTATTTTAAAAAATAATAATAAAGTTTACTTTTGTTGCGTTCCCAGATTCAAATGTCGTTATCTCCAAAACCATTGAATTAATTCACATAGTATGTTATACAAAAAATACTTCGAATTCAATGTAGAACCTGAATCTGCATTTTAAAAAATCTGTATTAAAAAAATTAGTTGAGTGGAAAAAATAAAAGTGCATGACGCACAAATTCAAGCAGTGGCGGAACTTCGACTTTTGTCTCGCGTACCGCATATCATTTTTCTTAATCCTCGGTGGAAATTAGCCGGCACAAGTATAAAGTTTTGAAAAAAACCGTTTGAAAATGTCGTCGAAACAGTTAGTGACAAAGTCAAGCCGTCTGCGTGCGTGGCAAAAGTTATTACTTTCCACACGGATTGAGGAAAATTTAATTAAATAATTGGAGGAAAGGTAAATTGTCATTGTAATGAGTAAAAGTTATTCTTTCGCTATCGAAAACAGTGGCGAAACTGCGTGCTCTCCACTAGGGGACCAAGAAAATTCAGTTCTTCATCAGTAAAGTCTAGCTCCAAGGGTTTTGCACGTAAATACGCCAATGCTGCAATTAAATCAAACTGAAGAAATTATAGATCTACTTGTCCAGTTAGACTTTCAAAGAAAAGTTGCCCCATTACTCTCTGCGAATTATAGGCCCAATACAACCCTGGCTATACGAGGAACCTTTGCCCAGAATGTCAACAAATTATTAGGATACCTTAATCGACATTAGATAATTAAGAGTTAACTTGTAAAGATTTATTAGCTTTTATTTTCATTCTTATTTCTAACTTTGTAGTAACCAGTCTTATTTTATACTCAATAAACGTTTTTTTTTTACAAATTCTCCGTCTTCAAAATTATAATTTGCGCACCATTCCGCACAGCACATTCATTTTTCCGTTTAGAACCTCCATCATCCAATGCGGATTTTCTGTTGCCCAATATCGAGAATTTTGTCGGTTCACCTAACCATTCAAAGAGAACGTAGCTTTATGGGAAAAATAACGTTTTTGCTAAATTATTTCTAGGTTGCATATGTTTTCGCATAACTTATTGTGCTTATCGAAATTATATTCAAATAACTCTTCCACATCAACTTTGTGGGGATGAAATTTATGCTTCCGAACTATTCGGTGTACAACCAAATTTCGCATGTGCAAACTGGCTGCAAATTGCGAAAGAAGGGTACATGCATTTTCTTCTAAAGAAAGTAGAACGTTCAGTTGTTCCTCTCATCCTCACTTAAGACACTGAGGCTTGGGTGCCTTAAAAAAAATTCGTAGGGCTGCCTTAAAATTACACTTTTTACATTTATCTCTTCTTCTTGCCTAACCATGTCCGATCATCGAACGCTGGCAATCATATTGGCCATAATCAGTCTGTGTACCGCAGCTCGGAACAGTTCACCAGATGTTTTTCTATACCAGTCTAGGAGATTTCCGAGACAAAATGTTCTTCTTTGTCCTTTACTTCCGGCAATCTTAATCTGCATCAAGAAATGCGGGAGGTTATTTTTTTCTGCGTGACCGAATGGTACGAGTTTTCCTCTTTTCATTGTTTTAATGATCCCTGTGCTCTTTTCGATTCCATGCAGGACCAACTTATTTCTTATTCGGTCGTCCATCCAGCTTAGTCGGAGAATCCTTCTATAGACTCACATTTCGAAAGCCTTAAATTCTTTAATGGTGTGTCGGTGAGCGCCCAACTCTCCACTACATATAGCAATGTAGAGAATAAGTAGCAGCGTGTTAATCTGGTTTTTTGTTTAAAAGCGATTTCTTTGTTCCAGATAATTATTTTTAGTTCTAGGAAGGCGGTTCTGGCTTTTTCAATTTGGATCTTTATTTCTTTGATCATGTGCCAGTTGTCATTGATATTGCTGTCCAGAATGAGGTGTTGTTAGCCTTCTTCTGTTCCTTCTCGAATGCTCTGATTTGCATTGATGGTATTGCTGTTCAGCTGACAACCAATAATTTGGTGTTCGAAGCATTAAGTTTAGTCCGTATTTCTTACATAATTACGAAATGTTACGGATGTTCTGTTATTGAGTATTTGTAGTTTATTCCATCAGCAACCAGTAGTGTGTCGTCCGCTCTGCACATCTTAAATTATAGAAGTGAATTCCAATTACTTTAATGTCCACTCTGTCCAAGGCTTCTCTGAACATATATTGAGAGCAGATATTAAATAATAGGAGGACAGAATGCATTCCTGCCTTACTCCACTTCGTATTTCCACTTGTGCTGATGTATTCTGGCCGAGTTAATAGGTACTTTTTCACGATCAAGCAAGATGACATATTCACTTATGAGAAATTCCTTTAAAACCGAGAAACGACATTTTCATATATATATATATATATATTCACATTTTCGACATTTTATTTCACCTTTCTTACTAAATCACTGTGAACGACTACAAACTTGGAAGGATCCAACATACGGAACCAAGCTGTTTAGAACACGCACTTTTTTCACTGAATAGCCAATAACGATCTTTTCAATTGCGTGCTGCGTTATTAAATCCCTGAATCTTCAAAGTTCGTTAATCTAGCCGAGATAAGATGTCTGAACAAAAGTGTAGATCGTCAGAAAATTGCAAACGGCATGCAATGGGATCTTTACTGTGAGCCAAAGTCGCCCATTTAATAATGCAGCGAAATAAAGTGGCTCTATTGCCTCGGATACTATTTCAATTTATTTTAAGTGTCGGTAAAGCACGCAAACTTGCTATTGATGTAGGTATTGGGTGGCGAAACGCTCTCAGGTAGAATAAACTAGAAGAAATCCGTGTGGTGAAAAGCGTGAATTTTCTGTTTCATGAAAAAATGTATCGTCAGAAACTTCTTCACAGGAATGCATCAATATTATGACAAGTTTCTTTAGTTATTCAATTGCGTAAGGTTAATAAGCATTTGGTGAAGCTTTACCGGACGCTTGAAACTTTTTTGTTAAGTGAGGATTTTTTATGAATGCTATGTAGTAATTAAGTTCTATATTGTTGAGGCGGATTCATTTTTACAAACTTCTTTTTGGGTATTTCGCCTCAAAAATTTTTGTCTTTAAAAAAGACAGAATTTCCTCACGTCTTTTATTACAGTTTTTAAATTTTTTTTAAACTATGTAGTAATGCTATTTTTTTCAAGAAAAGCTTACTAGTTTCTAAATAAAAATCGTTATATTTTCGTAAAAGCATTGTAGTTGAAAGTAATTTTTGCAGACAAAAAAAAAATGTTAACGGTGCTTTTAGCTCAATTTTTGAGCAACAACTGAAGTGATGGAATCATACTTTGATTTCTAGAACCATATTGTCTGAAGGATTTTTGTAAAGGGTTGTAATTTTATGTTAAGTTATAATTTAACCACGGGGAATGTAAGACGCCATTTAATTTCATGGATGTACTTAATTGTTAGGTGATTTGAAACAAAGAGAAATTACTATTATAATAATTATTATTATTATCATTAAGCAGCGCAGCATAAAATTATAAACCAATTTTGAATCTCAACGACTTGGTGGTTTTAAATGAAAAGCTATAATCATAACGGGAAAACACACTTCATACGCCCTACATTATCATTCTTAACAGCAACGAATGTCCTGGGCGAGGAGATCTTTTCATAACTGCACCACGCAATATCTCATGCAATTCTATTTTATGGCATGGCAAACTTAATCCTGGAACTTAATAGAGAAAGTCCAAGTTTGTATGGCAGTCTAACAGTGTAATCACCATCAGCAGTTGGTCAAGGGATTTAGGTTTTAATTAATTTTCTCGCTGGAGTTAGAATAGGTGCCGTAAATTGAAACGCTTCTACTACGGGAGTTTTCATGCTCGATAGAGTGGCACATTGAATTGTTAAGCTACGTAATACTAAACTAAATGGAAATTCGTCACTTCTCATATGCGACCCATGGGATTAAGCTAGTTATAAACGGGAACACGCGTGCGAAAATTGTTAAATTGCTTCCCTCAAAAGTAAATTC